ATGAATTACACCATAGGTGCAGAAGACATGGAGACTGTGGACCTGCTGAAATGAGATGGAAGCCCCAAGTTGCTTTAAGAGGCTTTAGGCTCATCCATAGAATACATTTGTAGTTAAGGTCAGTAGAAACTTTGTTCATGGTTCTGGTTCTTTTTAGCCTCATGAGACCATCCTGATCTCGCGAGCTTTCAAGATTTCACTCGCTAATCAGTCTGGAGACTCTCCGTTGAAGAAAATTTGGAGCCGTTCACCAAACGAACGTCCAATCAGCATTGGTCGGTCGGTTAGTACGTCATATGCGTCGTTGATCTGATTGGTTTATTTGGCTCGTCTATCACCAACATAGGCCAATCAGCTAACCAGTATTTTCGCCCCTTCCCAAAATTACTTCAACGGAAGGTTTCCAGATGGATATGCAAAGGAAATCCATCTGGCGGAGTCAGGTTAGGTGCTTTTGGTGATGTTGGCAAATTGAAAGCCTGTCATGGTTCCCTTTGTTAATACAGGGTTCCTACAGCATAAGGCAAGTTAAATTCAAGACTTTTTAAGACTTTTTAATGCCACTTGAAATAAAAATTTAAGAAAAACCTGCTTGCGAAAACTTAACCCAAAGGTTTATTTTAACATAAACCACTGCAACAATGTTTCAAATTTTTAAAAAGCTTCCCATACAGGAATAAAGCTAAAAACACACAAATGACAGATATATTTTAACAATTATTTAACCGAATTCACAAACTTTGTTTTAGCAGGGAACAAAACAATTAGTTTTAAAGCCACAACATAACCAGTGCTAAGTCTTTTTTGCAGCTATTTTTCTTTGTATCCTTTTTTTTTAGTATGTTTGATTTGGTGATAAGCGGAGGCATTGCAGAGACAAGTGTGGAACAAAACCGACAAATACCGGCTGTTTCTCGGTAACTTGATTTTGATGCTTTGTGTTTCGCGCTTCGCATGTGACTCCACTGCCTTAATTCCCATCGTTCTGAGTTTGAATGACTTCTTGCACAAAATACACCGTGCCTCATGCATGTTCCCTGGTACTGGTTTTAGCCATGGAGAAAACTCTTGGCCTGATAGACAATTATCGTTATATTTACACTTGCTCATATTTTCCAGACAAAAAGCTAATGGTGCATCTCCCAAATGTCCCGGCCACAACAACGCTTTTATTGGTTCCGTTATCGGGACAGAACCAATAATGGCAAGCCGTTTTTTTTTTTTTCATTAAAAAAAAAATAAAATAAAATGTCAATATTAACGTTTTATTTAGATTACAAAAATAAATCGTAATAAAAATAATCCTATTTATGATGTTTTAAAAATTAAGACCTATGAAAGACTAATTTAAGACATTTTAATACCAATTAAGGCCTTAGTTTTATTTTGAAGAATTCAATGCCTTTTAAGACTTTTTAAGGACCCGCAGGAACCCTGTAATATGTAGTGGCTTGGGGATTTTTTCGATCTCTCAAAAGAATGTCCTTCATTACTACAGCGTACCTATTTATGTAAAATCAGATGATACCATGCTTGGGAGTACTTCTGATGTGAGAAAGCATCCAGTTAGACGAAAGCCTGAAGACCGCACTATTTGACACCTCCAGATATACGGCTATCACTTCTGCGTTAGGCACCGTTAGGAAGCCCATAGATATCCATAATAAAGGCTAGATGTCTTACGGCGGAGTCTCAAACGGCATCACCGGCGGCCATCTTGCCTCAGGCAGGCTTTCTGTTGTGCTCTGTGGTACCTTATGTAAGGTGAGTGATCAGCACGAACACAAATTCTCTCACCTCACTGAATTCTTGACGGATTTACAAACAGTTTGGTTTCTTACAAACATTATGAACGTGGCTATTATTCTTGATGCTTGAACATGTCGAAATTGCAGATTTTCTTGTCGAAAAAATGACTTAATCGCGCAGCATAGTTGTGCATCACGGCTACTTGCGCAAGTTATCAAGGCTGAGATTATTAGGCAATTATATAGGTTTTACTGACACCAATAACAATTGTATGACAATTAATCTTTGGTGTAAATTACAATATTTGTGGATGTGTTTGTAGTTATTAGTTGGCTAATAACAATAATCTGAGTGTTGTTGTATTTTCATTATTAGCCTAACGTTAGCTGGCTAATAACAAGAAGCTGCGAAGTGAGACCTAACGTTAGTAAGTTAGCAGCTAACGTTACAGTTTAGCTAGCTGCTAACGTTAACAAGCAACTTTACATCAGTGGAAGAGGCAGAATTAAACATGATTTCCAATCGATTTGGTCTGTCAACACATCTTACATTATGTTACAGGAATTTGCTGGGTTTATTAAAAGGAAGATGCCAGACTTTTGCCATGACATAATAGTATTACAAGACTGTTGTTGACTCAAAGCTTTTATAAGTTTGTATTAGTTTCATTTGGACAACTTAAAGATGGTGTTGTGCCAAACATTTTCAACTTTCCAGCTCATCTTCAAAGGGCATGTGTATCATTGAAATTTAATCACATATTGATATACCAATCTTATACACCGTCAATTGTTGTTGGTCACTTTTGTTTTTGTTTCTGCAGGTTATATAATGTGTAAGCAGGAGGAGAAGATCTTCCATCCCCGTTTGCTGACATTCCTGCACTAGTACATGACCACAGCTACCTTCCTGTCCGCTTTGATGGCCTTGTGGACAACGCTCTCTTGTACATTACACAGAAGCTCAATAAAACCTTCCTTTTCAAAGGGCATTAGCCAAGCTATGTTTTTTGGGTCATTTTTTAAATCTCTGTCTTTCATGTGTATACCATCACAGTAGTGTAGTTGGGGATTTCAACATGCTACATCTATATATTACGGTGGCCGACAGGTGCAAATGCGAAGCAAAAGAGCATGCAAAAAACATGCAAACAAAAAAAAGACACGCTCACAAATTAAATGCGGCAAACAAAAAGCAAATAAAATGCAGCAAACAAAAAAGAAGACACCCCCGAATGAAATGCAGCAAACAAAAAGAGAGACGCAAACAAAAAAGAAGACACCCCCGAATGAAATGCAGCAAACAAAAAAGAAAACACCCCCGAATGAAATGCAGCAAACAAAAAGTGTTGAAAACGGAAGTGCTCCAGACCACTAGGGGGAGTCAAAGAAAATAGTATTCATTTCTATGGGACCAGATGCAAGATTCAGATGAAGATATTTGAAAGAAAGTAAAGGTACGTATTACTATATTTCTTTTTAGATACGCCGTCTTTTATAATATTACAGAATAACAGAATAATTTATGCGTAGCGGGATAGACTTTGTGTCAGTCATACCGTTGATAGATAGATAGATAGATAGATAGATAGATAGATAGATAGATAGATAGATAGTGAATTCGATTTACGCTTTTAACTTTCGTATTTTTATCTTTTTTTGATTGCTCTTATTTTTTCACAGTGACTCTGTGAAGTATTATCCTCTATAATGAGGTATTTTTCGGGGAGGTTCTGTGCTTTTTTGTGCTGTTTTTATCATGCTGCTCCCACCGGGACACGCTGCCTTTGTTTACTCCAGAGAACAGCTGATCGCTCTAATGCCGGCCGGCGTTTTAGCCAGACAGCTGAAATACCACCCGAACTCTGGAGGAAAACACGCCGTGGTTGCAGAGGAGGAAAACAACATTATCACTTTACTTGGATTTATCACTTTAATTGGACTTTTCACTTTATTTGGATTTAGTTTTTACATATGCATAGATATACGTACAGATATATATACAGAAGAGCTATATGTGTATATATATTTTATCTCTGTTTATTCTTATTTTTTATCTTTATTATATTGTATAGTTGGATGTGTGTATATATCATGTAAAACTGTAACTGGAGCGTGTAACAAAAGTAATTTCCCTCTGGGATTATTAAAGTATTTCTGATTCTGATTTACCTTTTTTAGGTGGCCATGTTTTGCTGTTTCTGTGGACAAAATCTAGGAACAATTCAAGTTTTCTGTTTTTCATGTGGGAAGAATGTGCAGATCTTGGCACAAGCTCAAGACACTGGTAAGCAGTGATGGCATAGTTACTTGTAAAAATTAACTTTAATCGATTACTTATTACTACTTGAAAAAGTAGATTAGTGATTACTTTTTTTGGAAATTCACTAAGTTACATTATTTATTTTTTTTCTCCACCACTTGTGAAAAGCTTGAACGTTGCAAATAATTAATTACAAGTTATTTAATTATAGTAATATCAAGTATGTATCTCCGCTTATAAGGTTGAACTGAACGGGAGATTAATGGTTACAACAGCACCCACACACACACACACAGTGCATCAGCAATATTACCTATGCTAAATAAAAATAATAAAAATAGATTAGACATATTAATGTTCTTTGTGTTACTGAAAAATATCAGCTCTTTTGATAATAATTAAGGTGATTTCTGTTTCAAACTTTTTATAGATTCAAGGATGGCCTTTCAACACTGAACTTCCAGAATGCTTTGGAGCAGCATGCTTCCATCTTCAGGCCATTTATGCGTGCAAGAGTGGAACAGCTGACATCCAAAATATTGGAGGAAATATTTGAGGTTCAGCTCAGTGAAAAGGGTAGCAGCAGACGACATGAGGAAACAAGAGTGCTAGGATTCTGGAGAGACCTTCTCCTTGACGCAGAAGGAGGACTTTAAGATTTATTGCTATATTCTGGTGTTATTGTAATATCTGATACATAAACTCATTGCTTCTTTTCTAGAACAAAAAACGGGTTTCTTTCTCCAGGACGTCCTGATGTTTGCCACCGGCTTGAACACACTACCTCCATCTTCAATTCTGCCACCACCAAAACTGATCTTTCAGGCCACTTCTCGTTTTCCTGTCAGTAGCACCTGCTCCAACACTATCAAAATACCAATGTCCAAGACGTATCATCAGTTTAAAGAAGACATGGACTTTGGGATTCAAAACTCCCCTGGGTTTGGGCTTTATTAAGGTCAAATGCAAAACAAAACAAAATGCTATTTAACTTGTCAAACCTGTTCAGTTATGACACTGTTTACTGTTTGTGTGCGACCTTCAAATTTGGATTCTTGTTTGTTTATAAGTCCACCATGTTTTTCAGTTTAATATAGTTTTCGACACATGATTCCCAACTCTGTGGATGTGCTAGGCCACACTGTCTCTGGAGGTTCTCAAAATGTGCCTGAAGGTGTTCATCTCCACATTGAATGTTGTTAGTCTCTGTCACAAACTGTCCGAATGGCTCCTGGGAAACTAGGAAACCACAGTCTGTTCCACCAAACCTAGGAATAGAAGAAATACAGGAAACATTTAGTTATATTTACATTTCTTCACTAAACTGTTACTGCTCTGACTATTGTTATAACCTGTCTAAATGATTAATTGTATTTAAATTTACATTTTAGAAATTGTCATCTGAAATTGTTAGAATAAAAAGTGACATACTGTTAACACATTGTTCATTATTTTTGTTTTGGCAAATTATTTTTTAGAGTTCCCAAAGAGGTTTTAAATTAACCAGATGTTGAAGACAAAAACAACAAAAATTACCTGTGAGGTAGATGATACATCACATCTGGTTTACCAGATGGACAGCAAGATTGTTTAACAGGTCTTATGGTATGTTTATGCCACCTGTTCTTGCATTCATCAAGATCTCTCTGTAGCATATCCATGAAGACAAACCGCACAAGGCATGTGTGCTCATGACTTCCATTGAAGAGATGTCTTTCCTTCAAATCGTTCATGAGATCCATCCAGAACTGAGATCAACAATAAACCAAAATTATAAGATAATTATATCAGCAGAAAGTAATAGGACTAGTTTCTATGTCATGAAAATAGTTAAATATATGTTGACCTACAAAGTTAAATATAAAGTAAGCAGACATCAACTGTTATACTTTAAATGTTGAGCTTCTGATTCATCCATATCAAATGTTAAACTATAAAATTAAGTTGTATATAGCACAAAAACATAATGGTCATTAAGAGATATGCAAGTACTTCATTTCTTCTGACAAAGTAGAGGTAATCGAGTAAAATGTTGCATTAAAAATTTGAAATGTTTGCTTATCCAAGAAGACTACTAAATTTATTCACCTTTTCAAGGTCTACTACTTGGTATTTATACAAAAATTACAATAAACTGTTGACAAACTCACCTTTGTTTTCTGAAATATGACCCCCAGCTTTCGATGCGTTGGTTGGCTGTTGAGGAGCCATACATATGGCTGGCAACGCTCAAGCTTTTCACAAGTGGTGGAGAAAAATAAATAATGTAACTTAGTGAATTTCCAAAAAAAGTAATCACTAATCTACTTTTTCAAGTAGTAATAAGTAATCGATTAAAGTTAATTTTTACAAGTAACTATGCCATCACTGCTTACCAGTGTCTTGAGCTTGTGCCAAGATCTGCACATTCTTCCCACATGAAAAACAGAAAACTTGAATTGTTCCTAGATTTTGTCCACAGAAACAGCAAAACATGGCCACCTAAAAAAGGTAAATCAGAATCAGAAATACTTTAATAATCCCAGAGGGAAATTACTTTTGTTACACGCTCCAGTTACAGTTTTACATGATATATACACACATCCAACTATACAATATAATAAAGATTTAAAAAAATAAGAATAAAAAGAGATAAAATATATATACACATATAGCTCTTCTGCATATATATCTGTACGTATATCTATGCATATGTAAAAACTAAATCCAAATAAAGTGAAAAGTCCAATTAAAGTGATAAATCCAAGTAAAGTGATAATGTTGTTTTCCTCCTCTGCAACCACACCGTGTTTTCCTCCAGAGTTCGGGTGGTATTTCAGCTGTCTGGCTAAAACGCCGGCCGGCATTAGAGCGATCAGCTGTTCTCTGGAGTAAACAAAGGCAGCGTGTCCCGGTGGGAGCAGCATGATAAAAACAGCACAAAAAAGCACAGAACCTCCCCGAAAAATACCTCATTATAGAGGATAATACTTCACAGAGTCACTGTGAAAAAATAAGAGCAATCAAAAAAAGATAAAAATACGAAAGTTAAAAGCGTAAATCGAATTCACTATCTATCTATCTATCTATCTATCTATCTATCTATCAACGGTATGACTGACACAAAGTCTATCACGCTACCCATAAATTATTCTGTTATTCTGTAATATTATAAAAGACGGCGTATCTAAAAAGAAATATAGTAATACGTACCTTTACTTTCTTTCAAATATCTTTCTCTGAATCTTGCATCTGGTCCCATAGAAATGAATACTATTTTCTTTGACTCCCCCTAGTGGTCTGGAGCACTTCCGTTTTCAACACTTTTTGTTTGCGGCATTTCATTCGGGGGTGTTTTCTTTTTTGTTTGCTGCATTTCATTCGGGGGTGTCTTCTTTTTTGTTTGCGTCTCTCTTTTTGTTTGCTGCATTTCATTCGGGGGTGTCTTCTTTTTTGTTTGCTGCATTTTATTTGCTTTTTGTTTGCCGCATTTAATTTGTGAGCGTGTCTTTTTTTTTTTTTTGCATGTTTTCTCTTTTGCTGCGCATTTGCACCTGTCGGCCACCGTAATATATACTTGTGAAGGGGACTATTGTACCAATTTTAATAGCAAATAAATGTCACTTTTATAATGGTTTAAAAATAGGAACTTTTGTGTAATTACCCCTGATATATTATCCGAATAGTCTACATGGAACTTCAAAGTGTTACCTTTAATTTGAAACCTGGATTATGCTTCTACACCAAGAGGTTGCCACACAATAAGCCTTTTTTGTCAGTATTTCATATTTTATTATAACAATAATATTCATATTATAAAAGTATGTATGTAAATATAAATAAATTAGGACTGTGAAATAATTAATCACACCCAAATAAGTGTTTATTTATATATATATATATATACATATTTATATATATAAATATGTATATATATACACATATTTTTATATATATACACGTATTTTTATATATATATATATACATATTTTTATATTTATATATATATATATATATATATATATATATATATATATACACATATTTATATATATATAGATATCTATTTCTATATCTATTTAACATAAATACCTTGTGCATGTGTATATTTATTGCACCTGTATGTTCTATTCAATGTTCTTTTCATATGAAATTCCATGGTTATAATTATTCATAAGTGTGCAGTTTCATAACTACATGTCTGACTTTTGTTTAACAAACCAAACAGTTTGAGAATCGTTAGACAATTGAGGAAGTTATGGTTATTTCAGTACATGCGCCTTTAAAACACAATGTTACGAATGAGCGAGCTGCCTGTGGCAAGATGGCCGCCACGTGCGGACGTCGACCCCCATTGGCCAGCAGCGCGGACGAGACATCTAGCCTTTATTATGGATATCTATGAGGAAGCCTGCATCCCTTAGCAACTCATCAACTGCAGCCAGCAACATTGATGAACAAATGTTTGCAACATTAGGTGATAGCGATGGCAATGATGATGGATTAAAATCCTCTTCTGCTCTAAGTAAGCAAGCCTAGAGTTTGAAATGATGTGAGCAGGGTACTGAAGTATCGACATCAATTCCCAGGGCATCCATGCCATATCAGTTCAAATGTGGCAGCACACAATCCTGCCCACGCCATAAGAGGACATGGCACTTCAAAACATCATTGACTACTGACGGCAGAGGCTCACTGACTAGAAACAAAACCATTGAACTCTATGCATTTAGATTCCGTGCCTCTCACTTCTTCCAAGGGACTCTAGAGTTTTAGTTCTTTCTCCTTTTTTCCTACTAAACCTTTTCTATTCACTCATCCCTCCATTAGCATGCCTGGAATCTGCACTGTGTGAACCACCAGGTAAGTACTTATAGCTTCCTCACCTTGTAGGGGGTGTCAACAGATGTCTGCTGGACAACAGTCCAGAGAGCAGTCATCCCAATGAGCACTTGGGCCATAAGATAGATAGATTTTCCTTAGATAAAAAGCTTTGAATCAATTTGACTGTATGATGTGGTTGAACTGTAAAGTGCCTTGAGATGACTTGTGTTGTGAATTGGCGCTATATAAATAAACTGAATTGAATTGAAGATAGAACTAATAAAGCAGAACCCATTAATACAGTTCATATTAATTAAAATAAAAAAGAATGCTTCAAATATATCACTCTTTATATAATCTTTATATAAGTTTTATGATAAGAAGTGTATTACTGGACCAAATCAACCTTTAAATAATATTAAAATGTATTGGCATACATTTGTATTTTGAGTTTAAATCTGCCACCATCTCTACGATGCATTTTTATCAAACTTATTGCTGTAAAAATCATCTAACCCTTTAGCCTTCTGTGTTCTAGAGGAAGAAGGTATTGCCATTGTGAATGTGTTTATGCTTATTTTACATAAGGTAGGCACTGAAAGGCGTAAAACATTAGTCCAAATGTCAGATGTTGGATTAAGAAGCTAAATGTATTTGTGAAGATGAGTGGGAGGAAGTAAGCTACACTCTTACCTGTTCATTTGTATTAAAAAACAAACAAAAAACGGATTGGATATTCTTTTTGCAATAATTATTTCCACTAGTTTGCGTAACTCTCCAGAGACCACAGGCTATAGAATCTGGGTGGATGAAACACCCCATCTATTCTTTCCTCGCCGAACCTCATGGATGCTTGGAACTAACTGAGAAATGAAAGAAGAAAAGGAGAAAGAGAGACAGATTTAGTGAGAGGCAACAACACTTAATGAGAGACAAGAGGAATGAGCAGAAGCGTGGGAAAAAAGGGGGAGATAAAAATAAAGAAAAATCGAGTATAAGACAAAGTCCGTTTCAATGGAGGCTTGTGAAGGAGTGAAGCCACACTGCCACCTGGAGACTGAAACGCAGACCTTCACACGGTCACACTGTGCCTCAGGGTTTTTCCAGCACCAACAGGAGCGTTTATCTGTGTTGTCTGACAAACGGGATCCACAATATAAAGGGCTTATCAAAACAAAAAGATATTAATACAAAAAGTGTCATAGAAATTTAAGATTACATTTTAACATCAGGTTATTTTACAAAAACCTCTGCATTTTTTACAAGCACACATAGTGCACAATGGAAATAGATGACATCAGAGTATCATCTTGTCCTGTGGCTGTGCAACAAAGACAATAAAAAGTAATAAGCTCCAACTGCTGGCAGATCCCATTATCCAGCAGAGACAATTGGAAACTTTGCATTTATTCCAAATTCAGCCTGACTTAAGGCTATGATTTTTCATTAGCAGCTGCACTTTGCATGTGCCTAGCAGGTATTATCATAAGCAACAAAATGACAACCTATGAAGCAGTGACTTGTGTGTTATATGGGGGATCCCTTCACCTCGTTGACCTTTTCACGCCAGCTTCACGCAAAACGCACTTTAATGTCAATTTACAGCTGTAATCTAAAAAGCTGTAAAGTCTCTTGTGTGATAAATTAATTGTCCTGAAGTATTCTCTCCTTACAGTTGTTTGCGGCTGTATCGCAGTTTAATTTCCCGGCGTGCCAGACACAATTAAAAATGCCTTAAACATACTCCGACACTGTACAGCTAGATTAAAGTGACAAGGCTGTACTCTAAACTGGGGATTAAACTAATATTAATCTTTACATAAAATGAAATGTCCTCATTTTTTTCAACATGTTGCACAACCAGTCATCTATACAATGATATGTTTCTATAGAACTGAAAGCCACAAATCAGAGAACATGCGTTAAGACTGTGTGTTTCCCTGCGAGCTGCAAACTAAAAATCAGCAGTGCAGCATGGGTCGACCAAATCCTATCTACCACTGTTACCATGGCAGCAACATGCATGTCACTCCAGAGACAGTAAAGAAAAACACACATAAGACAACACAAAGAAAATGAAAGGTTTAACTTATACCTCCCTTTCTATGACCCCCACTGGGAGGAGAATGATTAATCTATGGTGGGCCAGTGCTCCTGGCAGGTGGAATTAAGGGGTCTTCCAGGGTTGTGAAGCTGCAAAGCTTTTGCTGTAATTCCCACAGAATTTAAGTCTATTTGTGGTATTTGCAGTTTTTTTTCTAAAGGATTCAATAGATAAGCAGTAAATCAACCACTGCACCTTTCAGCTTAGCTCTGTCTTCACAACAACAGGCTGTTACAGTGTCCTCATTACAGCAGAGGCTTCCTCTGAGCGCCAATCAATCTCCGGCTATTTTAGACTCTGCTACACTTAAAATCCCTCCACTTCAGCCAGACAGTCACTCCCAATTTGTAGCTGGAAAGACATTTTTCATAAGGACACTTTTCTTTGCTGTCTGATAGATATTTAACACTAGACTCTTCTGACCAATGTGTGAGGGAAAGGAAAAGGCTACAGTTGAAACAAAGACAGAAGAAGCACTGTTTGCAGTTCTTGCAAACACCGATAAGAAGGTGCAAACCAAGTTAAACTTTCTGTCCTACATGCTAATAGCTATGTGTGGTATTTACCATCATTCAAACCTGTCGTGTTAGCATGGTGCTAAGGGAATCCATTTCTGAACAAACCTGATGGAAAGACGGATGGGGTAAATACTGTTTTCAAAACAAGTGAAACAGGGGCAGAGGTTCACCTTCCTACAGATTAGCATGATGAGTTAGAATGGCTTAGTCAAAGTCTAGATATAAATCCAAGAAGGCACATTGCTATGAAATTAAATAAGTGTATCTGTGTCCGTTACAAACAGCCCTACTACATGATGTATATATGTTTATACTTATGTCTTGGCTGTGAACCCTGTAACCAGAAAAATGCTCTGATTGTGCACAGAATCGATGTACCGTATTTTCACGACCATAAGGCGCACCGTACTAAAAGGCGCACTCACAGTTATGTGTCCCATTTCTGTATTTAACACACACATAAGGCGCACCGGACTATAGGGCGCGTTTTTTATATACAGGTGCATGTCCTCTACTACCTTTAAATACCTCTACTGCGTATTTAAAAATACAGCGGGGGCAAAACTGAGTATGACTGTGCTTTATTCATGTATTTATTACAAAGTATTAATCAAACCTGGGAGCTGACCGTGAGACAGACCAACATCGCAGATGACACAGCGCTGTGATCACTCCTAAATTAACTTAAAATCCTGAAACCTGCTGACGGAATATGTTCGCTTTTATTGCCGGTATCCTGGTGCCTGCAGCTAAAATTATTTAGATGAAAAACACCTGCCAGCAGCCGCGGTGAACCCCAGGCTGCCCGGCCTACAGGCTGCTGATGAAGAGATTTCTGCTGTCAGCGCACCGCTGGTATGTGGGGGTCTGAGCGCCTCCGACAGAAATA